CAACGGGCTGGAGCCACCCGCTGGGACACAGGTAAGACTTGGCAACCCTAGTTCAAGGTTGATGTGTGAGGGAAGGCCGTAACATGTTCCAGACAGAATCAGGCCCCACAACACTTTTTAAGGTAATGCCCAATCAGATGTGTGACCAGGGATTCACCTTAAAAAGCAACATGAGGTCTGACGCTACTCCAGGGCATGGCGCAGAGAGAGGACAGTCCTTCAGCCTTCCCTCCATACCATTTTCATGAGACGCTGGACTGGAGAAACAGACCCATCCCCCGTTGCTCATTTCCGCTTGCAAAAACGGTGCAGGGAGGGGCTGACACCCCTTCACCCCCAGTGCCACACTTCGGAGCAGAATTGGGCCCCACAGCACTTTTTAAGGCGAGCCCCCCGATCAGGCATGCGACTAAAAGTGGGCTAAGGGATCTCATGTCACTAGTCTTGTATGCAGGGTTGCCAGCTTCGAGGGGGTAGCAGGAGATCTCCTGGGATTACACCTGATCTCCAGGCGACAGAGATAAATTCACCTGGAGAAAAATGGCTGCTTTAGAAGGTAGACTCTATGGCAGTATACCCCGATTGAAGTCTTTCCCCTCCCCAGACTTGAAAGTGGGTGATCAGAGGATGATCAGCTTGTGGATGCCCCCCCCCCATGCACTCCCCTTTGGCAGTAAATTTGGGGCAAAAGGTCTTGTGGAAGCAGCAGTCTCTGGGACTCCACTTACTTCCCTCTTCCCCTTTCTGAAGATGTCTGCCCATGCATGCTCCTCACAGAAACATGGAGCGATGAGTCCACACGTGAAATCACCACAACCGAGCAAATACTACAGACAGCTTTCACACTGCCAGCCATCTCAGACAACACTTTTCAGCGAAGGAATGTGTTATGTATTGGGACTGAAACATTCCAGAACTGTTCTACCTGAGATGGGCTGAGCTCGAAGCCCAAGAACAATAGCCCACCAGGATACTGGAAGCAACCAATCAAGAAGTCATGTTATATAAATAGCCTATCATTGGGAGTGGGGTGTGTTTGGGTGTGGCAATTGCATGCTATTTAAACAGGGCTGCTGCCGTAGGGTTTCAGTCTTGTTCTTGCTGAAATCACTAATAAAGTAGAGCTGATCACTAGACTTAGGGTCTGCTCATCCATAGAACCCACTATTTAACAGGAACAAAGCATAAAGAGGGCCCCCCCACGATTCAGCTCTGGTACACAAAAGAGAAAATCTCGCATGACATCCAAGGCTCAGAGTTGCAGGTCAATGAGTCGTATGCAATGAATAAATGGTCCCCATTCTTGAAATGTAGACTGAAGCATAAAGGACCTTTAAAAAGGTAAAGGTTCCCTTGCTCGAAAGCCCGTCGAATCCGACTCTAGGGGTGCGGTGCTCATCTCCGTTTCAAAGCCGAAGAGCCAGCGCTGTCCGAAGACATTTCCGTGGTCATGTGGCCAGCATGACTAAACACCAAGGCGCACGGAACGCTGTTACCTTCCCACCGAAGTGGTACCTATTTATCTACTTGCAATTACTTGCTTTCGAACTGCTAGGTTGGCAGGAGCTGGAACTAGAGATGGAAGCTCACTCCATCATGCAGCACCCGGGTCTCGAACTGCTGAACTACTGACCTTCCACAGCCTGCAGTTCAGCGTCTTAACCACTTGAGCCACTGCAGCTCCTGACATCTTTTTAAGGACTGCTTAATGGATGCAGCTTTGTTTGTTGTTGTTTGTGATATGTGTTATGCTCACTGCTCATTTTTATGTGAATTGTACCTACTGTTTCTTAATAAAAATTATATTAAACAGTATGGAAGAAGGAGATTTCGCTTATGATTTCTGTGATATCTGGACTTCTCCAGGAATCAACGTGCAACCGCCATTTTAGGAACTGGGGGGAAACAGGACTCAGGATTCCACCAGCTTCCCTGTCCTTTGGACTTCTTCAAACATCAGGAGAAATCCACTTATCTAGACAAATCCTGCCCTAGCTAGGAAATCAATTAAAGCGTTAATCTCTTTTGTTCTGATACCATGGTGCCAGATAATCAAATTTATAAACCTCCGCCCCGGGGTTCTATTTCATTTTAGAACCCTCAAATGGAGGGGAGGGAGAACTCCAAACTTCGCCTTCTCCTGTATCCACTTGTCTCTCTCTTACATCAGGACCAGGGCCAACCTAGATGCCAAAGCAGGAGACCCATTTCTTTAAACCCAAGTCTTCACTAGTCCTTTAGAAAAATGAATGTACATGTTCAAGTGCCCTGACCTAGATGGGCCAGGCTAGCCTGATCATGTCAGCTCTCAGAAGCTAAGCAACATCAGCCCTGGTTAGGACTTGGATGGGAGACCTCCAAGGAAGTCCAAGGTCACTAAGCAGAGGCAGGCCGTAGCAAACAGCCTCTGTTTGTCTTTTGTCATGAAAACCCTAAAGGGTCCCCATAAACTGACTGTGCCTTGACAGTACTTTTCACCACAAAAGCCCCCTGGAGACCTGCTTGGTGCCATAGAATTCCTGAGGAACATTCCGAATACATTCCGAATACACTCCGAATACTATTTCGTTTAGAACCCTCAAATGGAGGGGAGGGAGAACTCCAAACTTTGCCTTCTCCTGTATCCACTTGTCTCTCTCTTACATCAGGACCAAAAGCCCCCTGGAGACCCGCTTGGTCCCATAGAATTCCTGAGGAACAATCCGAATACATAGACTTTGTCCCAAACACCCTTTTGCCAATAATGATGGCTGGCCATTCTTGCACTAGGTGGAGCTGAATGCTTTCCCCATTGGGCTTTTCCCCATTCTTATTTTACCTGCTGTTAAGTTCCTGTTTCTTCTAGTTTTTTTCCTCCTGTTCCGCAGGTGTTTTGCTCCCTCTAGTGGTCGATTCAATATCACACAGGTGTATTTCCAGCATATCTCCCTGCAGATTTAAAATGCAGGGAGATAAGATGGAAATGAAGCTGTTTTGATATCGAGTCGGCCACTAGAGGGAGCAAAAGACCTGAGGACCTCCTCCCCAAGAAACAGGAACTTAAGAGTAAGTAATGAGAATGTGGAAACGCCCATTGTCATGAATTAGCTGCCAAGGAAGGCTTATCACTCACAGAGTGAACACACTGATTAGACTCCTCCAACGAAACATCCTCTTAAACGACATTATTAACATTTCTTTCATTCCCTTCTTGAGATTTTCCTTCCTGTCACTATTTATCCTAGCAAGACAGGCCATCATTACAGTCATTATCCAGTCTCATCTCAATCCCCAAAGGTGGAAGAATGCCTTTCCCATTTTAGGTAAAAGTAAAGGTTTCCCTTGCTCGAAAGCCAGTCGAATCCGACTCTAGGGTTGCGGTGCTCATCTCTGTTTCCAAGCCGAAGAGCCAGCGCTGTCTGAAGACATTTCCGTGGTCATGTGGCTGGCATGACTAAACGCCAAGGCACACGAAATGCTGTTGCCTTCCCACAGAAACGGTACCTATTTATCTACTTGCAATTTCTTGCTTTTGAACTGCTAGGTTGGCAGGAGCTGGAACCAGAGACAGGAGCTCACTCCGTCATGCGGCACCCGGGTCTCAAACTGGTGAACTACCGACCTTCCAGCCTGCAGTTCAGCGTCTTAACCACTTGAGCCACTGCAGCTCCCATTTTACAGATGGGCAAACCAAGGCTGAGATCACAGAATGAGATCACACAATAAATCCAAATCTGGGCTGGGATTAAATCTTTGGTCTCCTGATTATTTTTTTTAAAAAAAACCCTTCAAGAGATGTTCCACACCATATGCATTTGACAAAGTTGATCTCACTCATAAAAGCTTATGCTGGAATAAACTGGGATAGTCTTAAAGGTGCTATTCGATTTCTGCTTTATTTTTCTGCAATAGACTAACGGGACCACCTCTCTGGATGATTAACCTTCCTGAATCTGCATTCAGACATCACAATAAACCATGGTTTGTGCAACAAACTCCAGCTCCCTATCTGCCGTGTCTGTGGCCAGGCATCCTCAAGGGACAGCACTATGGAACAAACCATTATAGAAAACTGCAGTTAAAGATGTGGCCCAAACAAACCCTTGAAGAAGCTCACAATCACAACCATGAGAAGAATGAAGACCATTTAAAAAGGATCACAGAGATCAACAGAGTGCCTTACAAAGCATGAACATTTCTGATTTTAAACTAGGACAACACAATATCAGTTTAAGGTAACAAAATGAAGTCCATCTTCCATACGCTTCCCAAAATAAAAACATCTTAACCAAAGGCAGACTTAGCATGGTGGGTTTCCCTGGGAGGGAATCAGCAGAGAAAGAGTGCCACTGCTGATAAGGCCCTGCTCCTCTTGTCTAAGTTCAGTTAAGGCAGGGATCTGGAGTACAGCCTCCTTTGATTTACCTCAGGAGGGGGAAGAGGCTGGCAGGACAGTACCACAAGGTGGGAGCTACCTTGGCAGGTCTGTTCATTTTCCCTCCAATCCTGGATGGATCTCCAAGAACTATGGGCACTTCTGGAACCTTGAGGACTGGCAGGGATGCCACTACAAAATGGCTGCCATGGGGACAATCACAAAATGGCTGCCACAGAGCCAATCAGAAGTCAAGAAATCGCTGTATGCTCCCTGAATAACACAAAGTTGATGCCTCCTGGGCTCTACTGAACACATTCTCCACTGAGGGGGAGGGAAAAAAAAGTCCTGTTCTTTTAATAGAAACTTTGTGTGTGGAAATGAGAAGTTGAAGCTTTTCATGACATGGAAGTAAACAAAATCACCTGGTAAATAAAGCCCTCCACTCATTAAGCCTCTATTAAAGGGATAGAGCGTTTTTCTCCTGGCCAACTGACAACTCTGTTTTTAAGTAATCTCTATGTACCAGAAGTCAGTCTCACATTCAGTATTCTTCTCCTAGCGATACTAACAGGAAGAGGGAAAACTGACCAAAGCAGGGTTGGAATAAGAACACAGCAGAGGTGCAACCGTCGATGGCACTTACCAGTTCAGGTGGGGGAAGCGGCTGGCAGGAGGATGGTACCTGGAAAGGAGAAGAGGAGAGTGATGAGTCCGGTCACAGAGACCTATTCAGCTGGAGGCCTCGCAGTTCGCCATCCTCCCCTGAAACTCCCTACGAAGCTCTGCAGTGACGTTCCTAATAACTCCTCCTCCTCTCCACAGGAGTCGTGGGGGGCAACGGAGGGGGAGAAAGTTTCTTGCTCAGCTCCTTGAACTGCCTGTGTAAGATGCAGAATCTGTGCCTCTTTCTCTCCCCCGCCCCACATAGGGTATTTTCTTTGGCCTGGGCTGGTTCCTTCCAATGACGGCACAGACATAAGCGGCAATTCATCATGGCCAACGCGAGGAAGGGGCACTATATATAGAGAAACATAAACAGGCTGGTCCACACCCCACCCAAGAGGGAAGCACAGTAAGACTATTGAGCTCTCTTCCCTCCCGTCTCACCTGGCCCAACTGACTTCGCATCCCTGCGTGACCCAGGAGAGGAGAGGGAGATTCCAGGCACCGTCTGCTTTGCCCTCCGTGGCTCCAACTTTGCCAACTATAGAAAATCTACTACCTCCTCTTAGAAGTCTGGTCTCACAGTTCGCGTGTCTGAACAGCCGCTTTTTTTTTAATGAAATGATTTTGAGTCAGAAATGATTAACTCTGATTCTGTTCGACTGCAATTCCTTTTGCTGGCTTTTGCAGGGGAATCTTGAGCAGCCAACTGGTTCAGCTCACGTTCTGCTCACCGCTGGTGAGGGGAGAGCCGGTTTTTTACTGAGCAGGTCAGCTGCTTGTGAACTGCTCGAGTCCGTTTGTCGTGTCACTGTTTGTGTTTTCCACCAGGATGGTGGAATCAGCTGCGTTTCACACAGGCTTATTCTCACACACCCCAGCGGCAATATTTTCCCCCTTTCCACATGGTACTGTTGCCATTGCTCATTACTTAGTTGCCAATTGTATAAATAAAGACTGATCAAATTAATCACTCGTCAAGAGATTATTAGTGAACACTATACTTAAAAAAAAATCTTACCCTTTGGTATTTTATGTTCATGATATTGTTGAGGGTGTTTTGTACATAGACTGAAAGCATCCTTAGATAGTAATAATGCTGTCAAGTTGCAACCAGCTCATGGCAACCAAGGGATTTCCAAGATGAGCTGGTTTGCCATTGCCTGCCTTGGTGGTCTCTCATCCAATTACATACCAGGGCCAACCCTGCTTAGCTACCGAGATCTGATGAGGTCAAGCTAAGTTTGGCTATTGAGGCTGCTCATTAAATAATACTCACAAGCGTAATATAAACATTATGCACCTGTGCATAGCTATGGGATCATCATGCCTTTCCCCCAAGTAAACTTGGGAACTTTTCTGTGAGACAACTGTTAATGCAGGGTAGCTGATACTCTGTCTTCCCCCAGAGTAAAACAAATTGAGAGTCCAGGAGCTAAAGACCAACAAAGGTTTATTCAAGGTATGAACTTTTGTGTGCATGCACACTTTTTCAAACACATTGGAATGGTAGGTAAGGTTCACACATATAGACAGGGACTTAACAGCAAATTAACATCTAACATCATGATGTTTAAGATAGGCAAAGTCAGAACTAAATAACAAGCTAAAGTTATAAGGTCAACTCTTGTAAAGCAATAAGTATGTCGAAATAGCAGATAAATGTCTAAAGGTGTCTTTTCTAATTGTGGGAAGCAAACCGAGACTCTCCATTCTCTCCTCCCAGGCGTGGAGATCACTTAACAGCACTTTTTGAGGTGGATGCAGTGTCATGTCAGCAAAACATCCCAATATTCCTTGCATTACATTCAGTATTCTAATATACTATTCTGAAAAAGAAATACGCTAAAATACAGAGGATTTATAGTTATTCTTGTTGAGAATATATATGTGAGGACTGACTGAGTTAGCTTATGTAATGAGATAAGAAACCAATATCTCTATTGAGTCCTGGGGAGGTTTTTGTATTTGAAAAAGTGTGCATGCACACGAAAGCTCATACCTTGAATAAAGCTTTATTGGTCTTAAATGTGCCAATGGCCTCTTAATTTGTTCTACTGCTTCAGACCAACATGGCTGACCACCTGGATCTTCCTCCAGAGTGGTGATGGTTAAAGACCTAACCTTATGTTCCACTAGCCATCGAGGGTCCCACTAGATGTCAGACTCTGAAGCATCCCAAAAGAACAGGACTCATGCCCCCAAACTATCAGCTGGCTTCACTCAGGGCTTTTATTTATTTATTACTTTGATTTCTGTCCCGCCCTCCCTGCAAGCGGGCTCAGGGCGGGTTACAAAGTCACATAAAAATCGTGACTAGCATAGCAATCAATAGAAGTTTAACCATAAAACTGACATCAAAATCAACTATGCCACAAACCAGAGCAAGCTTGTCTTGACAATAGAGCTTGGGTGGAAATATTTCAGAGTGGCGCCACTGGATAATTCGTTAGATTAAAATCAGCGCTTCCAGAAAGGGAGGCCGAGATGGATTTGCACGTCTGATGCCTCACCCGAAAGCCCGGAGGAACAGCTCCGTTTATAGGCCCTGCGGAATTGTAACAGATCCCGCAGGACCCTGATCTCAAATGGGAGCTTGTTCCACCAGGCAGGGACCAGGGCCGAAAGAGCCATGGCCCTGGTTGAGGCCAATCAGACATCCTTCAGGCTGGGGACAGCTAAAAGATGTTGATTGCTGGATCGTAAGACTTTGTTACAGAACTAATCCGTGAATCTAAAGCAGTGGTCTTCAACCCATGGAGTAAGGGTCACAAACCCCGACACAGATGCTATTGTCTTGTAGTTGTTGCGTTTTGGAAGGATGTGGCACTAAGGCCCGCACACATGACCTGAGGGACCGCCTTTCCCCATACATGCCCCAAAGAGCACTTTGGTCGGGGTCACAGCACCGCCTAGTGACCCCGGGACCTAAAGGCTTGCTGCCACAAGGGCCAGGTCCTTTTCGGTGGCGGCTCCTACCTGGTGGAATGAGCTCCCGGAGGAAATCAGGGCCCTGCGGGACCTTTTACAGTTCCGCAGGGCCTGCAAGACGGAGCTCTTCCGCCAGGCTTTTGAGTAGGAGCCGCCGCCACCACTATGACCACCATCGTGTACTGCAGAGCAATGCCGTCGGGGTGGGCTAATTAGCCAACTGGGACATCTCGGCCTATGACACCCCCCTTTCTGCTGACCTCACGGTGAGGTAGAATAATGAGTGGGTATTTTCAACTACCGATGCATCCTGTGAGATTGATCTGTGTTTTAAGTGGTCAAATTGTATAATTTTATCGCACCCTGTGTGCCTAAATTGTTTTAATGTGTTATATTTTATTGCACTGTTGTGCCGTGTAAGCCGCCCTGAGCCCGCATGCGGGGATGGCGGGGTATAAATGAAATAAAATAAATAAATAAATGTACACATGCGCGTGCTCACACACACACACACAAAATTTGTTTCTCCCTGTATCAACATTCCAGACTCTTAACTCTTTCCATTAAATTCTCCCTGGGCAGGTATTATCGGCACCTACCAGCCGCCACTGGGTTGTGAGAACACCACATCATTTCTGTGGCTCACTATAAAATGTAAAGACCAGGGATATTTTGTTATCACAAGTTACCATTTGGGAAGCTTTTCCTTTCAATCACGGTCAGTGTTGCTGATTCACTGGGTTCCTTCGTGCCATTTATATACTCTCTTAATTGTTTTAATATTGTTCTATACACAGTTGTTAGGCCATTTTCATGCAATTGGTGCAAGAATGACCATTAAAAACTGCTTAAATTGGGGAAAACTGGCTGGCAGAAACAGAAAATAGTGTGAAAATAAGGATGGGCTCAGTTTGAACAAGGGAGCAGCAAAAAGAATACGGAGATTTTCAAGTTGAAAAAGCGGGGGGGGGGGGGGAAGGTCGCGGGGCGAACATGCAAAATTCGGCAACATCTCCGATAAAGAGAGACGAACATTTGTTTCCGGGAATCTTCATGTGGGGCCTAACTCTGTGAGAGTCCCTCAGATGAAAAACAGCGAAAGCCAAAGCTGTATGTAATTTTTTTTTTTAAAAAAAAGAATGTTGTGGTGGGGGGAGACTAACCACAAAACACTACATGCAAATAGATGTGTAACAAACCTGGTATAACTCTTTTTTGTTAGGGAAAAGCTGCTTTGGGAATGAGTGATCTGGAATGAAGAGGTGCTGGTGGAACATCTGTGCTCAAACCCTTTCCTCGGTGGCCAACCTCCAGGCGGTCTAAACAAACGAAGCACAGACTGATAGAACAAAAGCGCTTGAGCGTATCGAAGTATATTATAGCATACAACAATATTAAAGCAGATACTGATACACAAAAGAATGGTAAGTTTCAGGTGAAGGTGAACTTCTATCAAAATGCAAATGAATCCGACGAAAACCTCCGGAGTGACTCTTCGTTTCGCCTCTTCATCAGAAAAATTCCCATGCTTGTCTAGTTTTATTCATACCACAGTTTGACATATCATATACAAATCTCCTGGTTTTTCTACCATAAATACATTTTTAAAACAAACGTTTCACCAGGCGTGACTTAGTTCGAGGCACTTTGCATCATGAACTAAGTCACACCCGGTGAAATGTTTGTTTTAAGAATGTATTTATGGTAGAAAAACCAGGAGAAGATTCGTATATGATATGTCAAACTGTGGTATGAATGAATGTGGTATGAAACTAGACAAGCATGGGAATGTTTCTGATGAAGAGGCGAAACGAAGAGTCATTCCGGAGGTTTTCGTCGGATTCATTTGCATTTTGATAGAAGTTCACCTTCACCTGAAACTTACCATTCTTTTGTGTATTAGTATCTGCTTTAATATTGTCGTATGCTATAATATACTTTGATAACCTCCAGGTGGTAGCTGGAGATCTTCTGGGATTACAACTGATCTCCAGGTGACAGAGATCAGTTCCCCTGGAGAAAATGCCCACTCTGGAAGGTGGACTCTATGGCATTAGACCCCACTGAAGTCCCTCCCCTCCACAAACC